GGCTGGCACTTCAGAATAAAAGGTCCTTAGGAACCATGTTTGGATTCCAAAATATCCCACATTTAGGTCAAGGACCAGTAAAGAAATGGTTTCATCAACCATTGGTATTCGTGTGGAAATAATTGCAAGTATTGATGATTTATACCCAAGATACTTTCTTCTTAGAGCACAATGCTGGAATTCTTTGAGTTATTACTGATGTAGTCTATTTTGGCTTCCATACAGCAATAAAATTGGAGGGCTACAATAAAATATTATCTAGTCTTACGTAGATAAATAAGAAAACCTTATAATCAAGCTTGAGTTTAAGGAAGATTGGTGATATTTCTTACACCTCTTTAAAAAGGACCCTAGTATTACAGCTGCAAAAGAAAATAATGCAAGCTGAAGATTAACTTTATATTTAATATGAGAACTTACCTCCTAAACTTTCATTGTAAAGTGTCCCAACATGTTTATGTATGTGTCCAAAGAATTTCAGTTACACGGACATACACCCACTTTCAGTATTCTGTGTGTACCATTAATTGTTCATATTGTTTTATTTTTATTTACACACATGCACATGCATATACACATTTTTCTTGTCTTCTGCAATAGGCTTTAGATTGTCTGCCTTACCAGTGAGTACTATAATATCTGATACTTAATCAGTATTGATAAGTAGGTGTTGTTTCAACAAATGACTCAGTGTTTTCTCCACCAGTCCTAATGCCCATTGATTATCTAAGGCTGCTGGATTAGTGTTAAATCTCAGCTTCATACTAAAAAGTTCCCTAGTAAAGCCTTATACCTAATACCATTGTGCTTGTTTATTCAATGTGTCAGTTGTAACAAGGCACCTATTTAAATAGTTTTTTTTTAATTACTAATCTAATACTTGTTATTTTAAAGCACTCAAACCGTGCAGAAAGTAAATACCTGTAGTGCAAAACAGAAATTTCCCTCCCCAAGATGCTTCTCTCCCCTCCCCCGTGAGGTATCCCAGTGGGTATGCCTGGTACCCACACATAATGAGTGGCTAATGATGAGGAAACTGGGCTTCTTCTGGATGAGGAGACCAGAACAGTGGCACCTCTGTGAATCGGGGCTGTGACCTCCCCTTGTCTCCTTATGGCATTGGGCCTGATGTTGCTGAGGGGAGCAGAGACATCCACTGCTCCCTCTCACTGAACCCTCTGCTTCTCCTTTACTGTTATCAAAACTAGACTTTGAAAAGAGAAATGATGCCTTCAAAAATACGAATAAATAAGTGTGTGAGTTTGACCTGAAAGCTAAGAAAAGGCATGTGCTACAGTAGTCATCTGCCCTCGATAAACACAGTGGCCTAATGCTCAGCTTGTCTAAAGCTCTAGGTTTAGAATAATCTTTGTTATCCCAAGAGCCTCTCCCTTAAGAAATACTGCAGAAAATGTTCATTTCATATCCTACTGTGAACTTGCTAGCTGTCGCTTATATTATGCGCAATTGGTGAATGTGACTAGCTTTTGTGGAGAGGTGAGTTGGTATCAAGATAGGAGACTTGGGGCAGAGCCAGCCAGGTGTGGAGCCACCTGCGCAGCCCTGGGCTGAAGGGCTCCCTAATCTGTGCTCTTGCAGGTTCTGGATGTACACTGCGTGGGAAGCATGCTACATGGGCCTCAGGAAACCTCCCAGAGGGGCTGGAGGAGAACACTGGCTGCCAGCTGCTCCTCTGGTGTCTCAGGGGCCAGACCCTGAACTTAGACCATGAGTGTGAGTTTCTTTGTAAAAAGACCGGTGATACAGTCTTCCAGTGAGTGGAAGGCCACTGGCAGGCCAGGCAGGAGCTAAGAGACAGTGTAGATGTGACTGCATCTCATGGTAGCATTGATCCTGTCAACTCACCAGGAGTAAACCCAGCACTGTCAGGGGTGGGGGCATCGTGTGTGTGTGTGTGTGTGTGTGTGTGTGTGTGTGTGTGTGTGTGTTTCTCTCATAGAAATTAGAACAACATGGACAGTCATGGGACAAATCAAATCCTCTAAATCAGTTTTCTTGACTTTGAGTTAGTAATAATAAGCCTTACCCTCTTTTTTTCCTTCCATATTTTTTAACTGATGATTAGAATCGGGCACCATGGTGGGATCTGTTGTCACATGTTCATACATGCATGCAACATATCAATATGATTTGGCCAATATCTTTCCCCAGTTTTTCCCCCTTTTTCCTGCCTCCCACCCCCTGGTCCCTTTCCCCTATTCTACTGATCTCCTTTTGGTTTTCATGAGATCCTCCTCCCCATTTCTCTCTTCCTTTTTTCTCTCTAGCTTCCTTATATAAGAGAAAACAGACAATCTTGACTTTCCAAGTCTTATCCTTACCCTCTTAACCTGACAAAATGAGATGAGTGAGGTAAAGGTGGCATTTAACATTGAAGGATGGATAAAATAAAACAGCAATAATAACAACAGATAATAATGGAGAGTAAGAATAGTAATAACAGTAAGAACTCTTTCATTGAACACCTGTATATCAAAGGCTTGACACTAAATACTATTCTTATATTGCATTATAAAGTTCATAGAACCTATTGTTATCCTCACTTCAGATGGGAAAAAAAAATTAACTTGCCCAGTCATGAATCTCATAAGTGAACAAGCTGTGATTGGAAGCTTAGTGTGCACAATGGCTTGGCTTTGCGATTCTGATTGGTAGTGATTTAGAGTGGTTGAGAATTTTAGTGCACCCCCAGACATAGTCAGAGAGCAGAGGTTGATTAGCAATGTCTGCCTTGAGTATAAGTAAGAACTGGGTGGTGGGGCGGTCACAGAACATAAGCTGCATATTTTCCTATTATCACCCTATCTTTCAAGGTAATACAACTTAGGGAGAAAAAATGTCTTCTCACCTTCAAGTATATGTTGGTGATGTATCACAGTGTGATGCTGTTAGAAAAGCCACCTGCTTCCAAAGTCTGCAGTGACTGAGATGTGCCAGGGGCAGAGCTAGTGGCTTCCCACAAATAACAATCATCCCATTGGCCAAGCAGCTCCCCCCCCCCTCCCCAGCAGTAGCATTGTCACATCACAACAATGCGCCTTTGCCGGCAGACACATGGGCCCAATGGCTGGCACTGACGGTTTCCCTGAAAAGTGCTACTGTCCTCTGTTCTGAGTCAACCTTATTGTTCAGAGCTTTGGGAATGAGGCTTATATCCAGATATGGGACAATAATATGTGCCATACCCTTGTTGTCAGCATTATTGTGGGTCACCGTGATATTAAAGCCTCCAGTGCTACAATGCTCTGAAGTGACCTCCCTGTACCCTAAACCCTCAAACTGTGAATTCCTATTTGTCCCTCATTCAAATACCACTTCCTCCAAAGTCTTCCATGAGTGCCACAATCAGCCAGAGTTAGCTTATCTAAAATCATGCCAATAAATATTTAATAATCAAAAGGATAATTTGTGTTAATACTTTAGGAATTAAGAATAAACTACAATGACTTGTAGACCAGGAAGATGAAAGGAAAGTAACTATTCCAAACGAACTTCTTTGGCTCTTCTCTGATTACCTGCAAAGCACACAGAGTAGCAGGAAAGACAGTGGGGGAATGGTTCTGGCTGTGTGGTTTCTAGATATGGTGGGCTGCAACTAGTGGGGAAGGGGATGTTTATAAATTATGCAGATGATAATCCCGGTGGCTTGGAAGGCTGAGACAGGATGATCACCAGTTCAGAGCCACTTAAGTCCTGGTCTGGAAGCAAGAGTTTCTAAGTGCACAGGGAAGTCACTGAAGGATTAAACAAGATTAACAACTGTAAAACAACTAATTTTTTATATTGAAAAGAGTAACATCATCTAATGAAGACTTTATGCCTTTAGAGAAGAGACTTCCCTATTTAGTGAGGCAGCCACTTAATTCCACAGGCATTCATTCATTTCCCAACTGATTTCTAGTAGGGAATGCTGCTTTCTGGGGCAGAAGTAGGATAACCAGACCCAGCTCCCTCTGGGGCTGGCTGGCTGTCTTTTGAGTACTGGGTGTTGTTTCAGACACTGGGACATAATGCTTAAGGGGTTCACTCCACCATAGAATCTGTTTCCAGGTGCCAAATCTTTCATGCTTCAGGTTGCATTATTGAGCCAACACACTCCAGAGCTCTCCTGTTTCCTTAGAAGGTTCTTAGTCTAGAAGAAAACGCATATACAAGGAGGGGGTTCATTTCCTCCATATTTCCAACTGTCTTTCCCTCTTTCAACAATCTTGGTGGAGCACCTTTGCCTACGTGGAGGCAAGCGTACTGAAGAACAGTGTGTGAAGTGGTATTGGTACATTGGTACGTGGTTCTGGGGAGCTCAGAGGTGAATCCTCACCTGTGCCTGGGGTGCACTTCCAGGAAGTGGAGCTGAGCCTTGGAGGAGGCTCCTTCCAGTTTCTCTGAGAAAAGCTCAGAGAGTGGTTTAAAGAAGCCAGTCCAGGGCTAGGGATATAGCTCAGTAGGTAGAATGCTTGCCTTGCATGCACAAAGCCCTGGGTTCAATCCTCAGCACCACAAAAAAAAAAAAAAAAACAAGAAGCCAGTCCATACATAGAAAAAGAGTTGACTTAAAGAGATTAACAGATTTTTAGGAAGGAGAGCCATTGGGGCTTGAAAAATGATTGGAAACAGGACAGAAATTAATAATTCTGATTTTGCAGCTATTCCCCCTTCTTCCCCAAGGAATAGTTCTCAATCTGAAACACCAAGGTCACAGCTGTTCTTCATGATACCCTGCTTTGAACCATCCCCTTTTCTGTCACCTCACTGAACACTGATGAAGCACCATCATGTGCATGGTCTTCGGAATAAAGCACTGAGAATTGTGTTAGATCGGGTTTACAGAACATGTAAAGATGCTTCTCGGTAAATGCAAATCATGATTCTCCTAAGCCTGTTTCCTGTCAGCAGCCACCCAGTCTTCTAAGGATGGTTAACATCAGAGATGAAGTTAACTTTTTCCTGACTCTTGTTTCTTTTCTCTTTTTGTTATGAAGTATATTCGGTGCTCTTCGAACTGGTGCTTACATGGTGTACATTTTGATGACCAAAGGCCTGAAGCAGTCAGTTTGTGACCAGAGCTTTTACAATGGACCCGTCAGCAAATTCTGGGCTTATGCATTTGTGCTAAGCAAAGCACCCGAACTAGGTGAGTGTCTTCCCTCCTTCCATTTTTTCTCCCCCATCTTTGTAGCTACATGTCCAAGTATTTATTTATTTATTTATTTATTTTTTAAATGAACAAAGAAATGAACGGCTTGAAAGTCTTGTTTTGTTGGTTGCAGGAAAGTTATAATGAACGAATTTGAGATTTTGAAGGATCTGCACTTTCTCTGTCTCCTCCAGCCTTTTAAATAATTGTACCTCAAGTATATAAACAGCAAGATGGTTTATGTAGAACATGCCAATTTCCAGGCACTACTAAAAATACATTTCCGGGGGCTTATAAAATATACACAGCCCCCTCTCTAAGGTCCATCAACAGTTGAGCTAATATTAGATTGAGGGAAAAATGGCAGCTCAGCTGTTTTCCAAGCCCCATATCGAAGCATACTTTGATCTCTTGAGTTAGGATTCAGATTTGGAAAATAAGCTTTTCGTTGGGTATTGTTGGTCTCTGGTGCTGTTTGATTTTAATCATCTGTCAGACACCTGGGAAAGGAAAAAGGTAGTTCTCCTTCTAGAAATCAATAGAAAATACTGGCTGTATGTGTACATTTCTAGAGTTTTTACCTTCAAATCTTTAATGATCTTGAAGGGAAGGTTGGCACTATTTGGCATAACACTGAAAGATAAAGAGGTAAGGATTTGACATGAGCTCACTTCTCCAGGAAATGTCATTGTTGCCTGAGAAAGGAAGCTGCTGGTGACAATAAGCTCTGAGTTTTTTGGTTTCTGTTTTCTTAACCTGCAGTTAAGAATTGCATCATTTCAGAGATTTTAATTCTGGCATTAAAAGGTGCTTGTATTTAGTTGAAAAGATATTTATTGTTCTCTCTCCTATTTCCCTTAAAAAGGGGGTTAGAGGTAATTTTATTACAAGATTCCTATAGTGTCAGTTACCAGCAGCCTTCTGTAAGGTGCCTCTGTTTCACATCCCTGTGTCCACCCAGGGTATGAATTCTCTCTGGTTTTTGTCACTGTGTGCTAAAAACCTGCTGCCTAAGTACCTTGCAATTGGTTTGACAATTCCAGGTCAGGACAAGCAGCAGCAGAAAAGTTTTCTAAAACCTTTGTTAAGAGGGGCAGCAGTGCAATGATAGGTCCTCCACATGGTCCTAGATAACTAGAAAACTGTGGTGTGCACCTATGAAAAGAGAGTCCTAGAGAAAAATGCATTAAGTGGGTCCATCTATTTAATAAGTTTATACTAAGCACCAACCATGCACTAGGTATTTAATAGGAGCTAGAATAGAATGGCTACTTTGTCTAAAAAGAATTTTACAATATAAAATTTATGGATCAGGCCCCAGGAAGCTATTTTTTCATACTTGTATTGATTCCATTAGGTACAAAGTCTGGAAATCTACTTTTAGGAATTTTTAGATTGTGAGAATATTTTGTGAGAATTGTTTTATTCATTTGTGGATAAAATAAAAGATCGTCTTGTTAGATATATCTCTTTCATAGTGATTCTTTTTTATTTAGATTTCTGAATCAGAACACTTATTTTCAAACTGGGGTTGGTCTGAGACTGGAAGCAGGACTTTTTTTTTTCCTTTAAAATAAAGTTCTACATAATTGGGAATTATTCAAGGTGAGAAATATCATCTTCCATGGACTTTTCTTTTATACTCTATAGTAAGTGTCCTTATATAAGGATAAATAAATAAAAACTACCCCCATTGTTAAATCAGAAGTGGTATCTTATTACTAACCCTTAACCCATCTTGTGCCATCATTCCAGAGATGGAACACATATAAATTTTTTTTTTTTTAGACATCCTGAGGATGCATTTTTTTTTAAAGAGAGAGAAAGGAGAGAGAGAATTTTGATATTTATTTTTAGTTTACGGCAGGCACAACATCTTTGTTGGTATGTGGTGCTGAGGATCGAACCCGGGCCGCACGCATGCCAGGCGAGCTCGCTACTGCTTGAGCCACATCCCCAGCCCCCACATATAAAAATTTTAATTGAATAACAAATTTTAACCTTTTTAAATGTAACTCTGTTATTGAAATATTTACAGAATTACAAACTTGGAACTTAGTGGGTTAAGCTGCAGTTTGCAAAGAAGCAATCTCAGTCTTTTGTTCTAGAGAAGCCTTTGTGTGTGTGTGTGTGTGTGTGTGTGTGTGTGGTGGTGCTGCTGCTGTGGATTGAACCCAGGGCCTTGTGCATGGGAGTCAAGCACTCTACCAACTGAGCTATATCCCCTGCCCAAGAAAAGTCTGCAAGGATCCCTTGTCTGTTCTGAGTTGTGTCCAGTTGTATTTGAGGGGCTTGAGAATAAAAGTAGTCCCTTCTGCCTTTTGAAGGAATATTTTATTGAAGAGCCACCTCAAGCTGTTTATATTCATCAGTTTCCTTTGAACACATGATTAGACCTCTGCTGTGTGCCCTCCTGACTCTATTCCAGATGGAAAGTGAAGTTCTAGAATGGAGTTGGAGTTCCTGGGGGAGAGCTGTTACGGCAGCACTCAGGTGTCCATGCTCTGTGTTGCGTTGACCCGATGATGCTAACTCATCCAAATTAGTGTAGTGAATTTAGTGTAGACTGAATGTGCCACTCCCCTCTGCCACCTAGCAGTCTTCCTCTTGCATCTGGATGGAGGCAGACTCAGGTCCTTGGCTTGACTGGCTTGGCGTGGTGTGTTGCTGGCATGCAGCCCTTTTCCCTGGAGAGGCACATCGCCACAGTCATTTGTGGCAATAGTTTGTAGATTATCCAATAAGCCATCCCTTCCCAGCTAAAATACAGGATTCAAGTGTTGACATTGGAAAAAAGGTAATCTTCACATGGTCTCTTTGATGAAGCTAGTTAAGCTGCCTAAAATCTCAGGACAGTTCTAGTGATGTTTTCATGCTCTGAATACCTTTTTCAGTTATATTATCTTTCAAATATTCTAGAGCTTGTTTGACAGTTGTCTTGCAAAAGTGAAAGGCTAAGTAAAAAACGAACCTAAAAATCAGCACCAGTGCTGCAGGGCAGCCAACCACTGGCCCTAATTGAGAGCATATTCTTTGTTACCATTTGATTAAGAAAGATCGATCCATTTGAGTGATTTATTTATAATTTGGATTATTTATTTATAACTTGCTTATTTTTCAGTCCCAGGTTTGCCTTTTCAGTATTCCAAGATTGTGTCCTCCTGTATGAATATTGGAAGGAAAGGAAAGAACAGTTCTCCCATATATAACAATGAAACTGTGTTTCTCCCCCAAATCCACATGCCTGCAGTTTTCACTAAACTTTTTTTTATAATTGCAGTAAAATATACATAATATTCACATTGTGTACAACCATCACACCATCCATCCCCAAAACCTTTGCATCTCCCCAGCCGAAACTCCGCACGCATTTAACACTGACTGCCCCTTTCACAGCAAGGATTCTGTTCAGCAGAAAACAGTAAGCTGGTTTCAATGAATTTAGAGGGTTACATTCTACTAGAACAAGTGAGAGAAAGAGAGCCATCACCCTGCTTTTGTATGCCAAATCTTTAGTGCCTCCTGTTTGAATTATATTAAAACCTGCTGAGATTTGCTTTTGTTAAAACTTGGAAACATCTGCTGTGAGTCTGGGTCCTTGCTCAGTTGAGCTTGTCATTGTTTTTGAACCTCTGACTCAGCAGCACTCCAGCTAATTCTGCGAAGAGAAACTCAGCCTTCTGTGACAAGCCACATGCAGGGTATGTTCTCTGTTTCCCTTGGTGGCTGTGTGTATTCTGGGGATTTTCTAAATGATAAAGGACTTCTCAATAGATTCATGGATATCTGCACTTAGCAGGTGCACAGGCAGAAGGTATAGTTCAGGGGGTGGACATTTGGGTTAAAAAAAAACATCAAGCTATGCCTGCAGGTTATCTCTTAACTCAAAATAGCTGGACCAAAAGGTAGATCATGATTAAGAGGACATGAACCAGGAAGTAGCTAAAATAGGTGACATGACTGAAACCCCAAGAGTCTAAAGTCTCGTTGCTTGTACTTGGCCAAAATGTATTCCACAATGCCAGCTGGACATGTGGCCAAGAAAGAATGGTTGGCCAACATCAAATATACAGTCCCTAGGAGAGTTTATATTTCTGGGTCCCTCTGTAACTCTGGCAAGCCTGTAAATGCCACAGTTTGGCATGCCTCTGGCTCATGACAAATTAAATGTGATGTTATATGATTTCTCTAGAGGAAATATATTCTGTACCTGCCCCAGTACCTGGCTGGTACATGTAAGTGGCAATGTTGGTGACCTTGAAGGGTCTGGGTTGGCCCTTCTGGAACCCCCTACCAGTTTCCCTTCATACTAGGGAAACCACAGTTCTCTGCATCTATGGTCTTAAGAAGTAACCCTGGTTTGGCTTTGGAGTGGTGCTGCTGAGCAGTTTCAGAGCCATCATGGGGAGATAGTCATCTTCATACTCCGTCTATCATCCTCCTGTACATGTTGTTCTGGAAGAAATTCTTCCAGTGAATTCAAAGTCATTATGTCTTCAAGATTTTATGATAACATCTTTGACTCCAAACCCCCTCTCCAAAGTACCTAGCAACACCTACCATGTCTCAGACCAAGCCTGAGACAACCCCAACTCCACCCCTGTGGTCAGGAAAAACAAAGCCTCAACCCTAGAATTGCAGTTTCCAGTTTGCATTCCATGTTGGTTCATTCGAATATGGTCTTTAGACATCAAGAATTAGGATGAAATTCATGTTATTTTGTGGCATATACTTTTATTATAGTGTGTTTAGAGATTATGTTGGATATATATGCTAAGAGACTTGGGGGAAAAACACCTTCTCAATATGAATGACTAAAATTTGTTTTTAACATACAGTTCCTTGGACTTCTGTCTTCCTTCCACCGTGAAGAAAAGTCGGTTGGGATTATTGTATCTGCGTTACAGTCTACAGTGGAAAGACAGGCACAGAACAATAATTACACAGAAGTATAAGTCTTTGACAGGCGTGCCACAATGGCACAGTTTAACACCAGGAAGTAGGCCCCAGGTCTCTGGACCCCAGTTTCAGCCCTTAAATATACACATGAGAGTGACCATCACCATCTGTCATTGTCATTGTCTGACATTTATAGACATAATAAAAATGAGAGAGGATTCCATTGGAAATTTTAAACAGGTTCAGAAATGTAGCAACTGGAGACTTTGCTTTTCTTTTCTAAACAAAGTAATAACAAATAATAATTCGGCAGAGAAAAAAATGCACTAATCGCCCTGATGCGTGGAATGGGGCACCACCTGTATTCCAGCCACAGCCATCAGAACCTCAAAAGTCTTCCCAAGCCCAGTTTTCTTACCTTGCCTAATGCCAAGCATTTAGGCCATCATAAAGTATGGGAGGCATAAGTATGAGTCCCCTTTGTGCTTACTAAATTTTCAGACCAAGGACCTTCTAATTCTTGTTATACAAAGAGAAGTCACTCTGGGTTTACCAGAGACCCTGAAGGATGCTGGTGTTCCCCATATCTGATAACCACAGAGATGAGAAAGAAAAGAAACGTTTACCTGCATACACCTGCTTCTGACTCACATATCAGAGTCTCATCCCTTTTTATCTTACTTATTAATGGAATTGGGTGAATTGTTACTAGGCTTGCTTTTTATCCATTTTCTCATAAATGTTCTACATTCTCTATTTTTCAGAATCATTGTAGATACAGAGCATCTACCAACCTGAGCATAATTCTAGCATAATTTCTTACTTCAGAAACAGTGGTCTGTTTCTTCACAGTGATGTAATAAGAAAACTTTTTGGTGGATCCTGCAGAGCTTTCTCTATAGTTAATTCCATACAATGAACTCTTATTTTCAGTTTTTCCTCACTTGATTCCTTGGTGTCAAGCATTCCCTTTGCCCTCATCAGTGCATGTGTATAGAGGATGATTTTTGTTGCCCTTTTCTTTCATCTTTGCCTTTTATTTAAATTTTGCTTTTCTTACAAATTGCAAGGGTTGGACATTATACAGAGGAGCTCACAAAAATGGATGTTTAAGGGGTATCTTTTGTCGTGGATCAAAGAAAAAAAATATGGTTTTACAACTCTGGAGAGGACTAAGAATATTTTGCTGGGCACTTGCATTGCATTCCAGTCTATTTCTCTTGATTGACAGGTTACCAGTCCCCTCTGGGTGATATATCCTAAGATGAATGGTTCACTGAGAATCAGACAGCCTGGATGATAATGTTTGTTCTAGATCAAAAATTAGTAGGACTTTGTGTAATATACCTTGAAAGTAACATCTGTTGATTACTTGCCATGTATGAAGAAGGTATATTGACTATCTTGTTTAATCCTCAGATAATTCCAAGCTACTGTTACTAATTATCCCATTTTGGAAATGAGGAAACTAGAAAATAATGAAAATAAGTAACTTGCCCAACGTCAAAGAGGTAGCAAATACCAGCTCATGATTATAACCCAGTTCATCTAATTCTCCAGTCCTAGCTCAAGATATCTGTCCTCTAACAAAACTCTGGATTATCATTGTGTGTGGTCAAGGGCTTATGTACATTTTTCCCTCCTTTATCTTCCAGGAGACACAATATTCATCATTCTGAGAAAGCAGAAGCTGATCTTCCTGCACTGGTACCACCACATCACTGTGCTCCTGTACTCTTGGTACTCCTACAAAGACATGATTGCCGGGGGTGGTTGGTTCATGACTATGAACTATGGCGTGCACGCCGTGATGTACTCTTACTATGCCTTGCGGGCCGCGGGTTTCCGAGTCTCCCGGAAGTTTGCCATGTTCATCACCTTGTCCCAGATCACTCAGATGCTGATGGGCTGTGTCATTAACTACCTGGTCTTCTACTGGATGCAGCAAGACCAGTGTCACTCTCACTTTCAGAACATCTTCTGGTCCTCACTCATGTACCTCAGCTACCTTGTGCTCTTCTGCCATTTCTTCTTTGAGGCCTACATTGGCAAAATGAAGAAAACAACGAAGGCTGAATAGTGTTGGAACTGAGGAGAAAGCCATAGCTCAGGGTCATCAAGAAAAATAATAAGACAAAAGAAAATGGCACAAGGAATCACATATGGTGCAGCTAAAACAAAACAGACGAGCAGACACAAAACCCGAGGCAGCTTAGGGATAATTAGGTTGACTTAACCCAGTAAGTTTATGATCCTTTTTGGGTGAGGACTCACTGAGTGCACCTCCATCTCAAAGCACTGCTGCTGGAAGACCCCAATCCCTCTTATCTGTCTACTCTAGGACAAATGAGAACAACAGTGAGCCAGAGGCAGAGAGAGACTAACAGAAAGCAAGCAAAGGCTATTAACACTATATGAAAAACAAAAAAGTATTTACTAAGTGTTATCTTTCTCTAAGGATGAGAGAATTTTACTTTAAAAACTGTGCGAGCACACACACAATCCTTTCTGATCTTTTTTTTTTTTTTTTTTTTTGACATGAAACTGGAGCCAGTAGAAAAGATGAAAATGGAAGAGACACAGGGTTTATATCTAGGACAATGATGCTTTTGCAGAAACTCAAGCCTTTTTAAGAAAGGTTAGTTTGTTGTAGCCCCCATGAAAAAAAAGAGATGTCTTAATCATTTTTTAGTTCAACTCAAGACATAGATAGATATTTTTCCCTTCACTGCCCAGCCGCAGGCTAGTGAGTTTGCCAAAAACAGGCATAGTACTTTTCCAAGGTTCTTTCTGGGAGAATGGAAGTAATGCAACCCGGGTCTCAAAGGGGCAGCTCTCTGTACCAGAATATTTCTAATAGTTATCATTTATACTCTTAGATGAGATATGAAACATTTGTTTAGTTGTCCCAGACATTTGAATAGAACAGTAAATGCAGACTCAAAAAAAAAAACCAAAACAAACAAATAAAAATAATAATAATAATTTTTTTAAAAAAAAATTCAACCAGATGGCTTGAAAGTGCATCCTGCACTGTACGTGGAAGGGCTGAGCCCAGGATCAGTGGAGCTTGGGAAGGTGAAAAGGCATGAGCTAAAGAGCCCTCAGTAGCCAGACAGTAGGATTTTTGTGAATTTACAAAGAAATCTGCAGAGTCTCTGCCTGATTTGGGGTGAGTGCTGTTTCCACCTGGTCCACATTAGCTCCCCAAGCCATGCAGAGGTGTTCTAAGTGCCCTCTGCTGGCCAAGTGGAGATAATTAACAAACACACCATGACAAGTTTGGCTGGAAATAGTTGATAGCAATTTCAATTTCAAATGATATTAAACAACTCATCGTAGGTTTGGCCAAATCAGAAGACATCCTTCCTGCTTCAAGTCAGCTTCAGAAATTTTTTCAAAGGGACTTTTGCTCTGGAACTCAGAAAATCAATTTATTAAGAGCCATATTCTTTTTTTTAAGAAAAGAGCTAGATAATATTATCTGTAATATTTCAGTCCTCTACAAGCCAAATAAATGTGTCAATGTTCCTAGGATTTCAAAGAAGCAATTATGTAAAGTTGTTCGATGTGATATAATAGTATTTTAATTGGTTCAGTAGCTTAATGATTAGGCAAACTAGATGAAAAGGTTAGGGGCTACTACACTGCATAGATTATTATACACACATAACCACACATATATGCACACAAATGTGGGGTACACTGAACTTCAAAGCCGAAATGAGTAGTAACACATTTTCTGGCTAGCAGAAAACTGTTGTTTATCTTTCTTGCTTTATTTGAGAGTGTACAGTAAAAGGGATTTTTCAAATTATTTTTATATTATTTTAGCTTTAATTGTGCTGTCATTCATGAAACAGAGCTGCTCTGCTTTTCTGTCAGAGATGGCAAGGGCTTTTTCAGCATCTTGTTTATGTGTGGAATTTAAAAAGAATAAAGTTTTATTCCATTCTGTGTGAATGGCTTGAACAATGAACACAGAGTCCATGCAAACCAAGTCATTACTGAAAGACCTGGGAAGGGGGCTGTGCAGAGAAGAAGATGTTACGTCCATGTTAAATTATTGTGAACAGTCTATGGTGTCCTGATGTTGGTTCATAGATGAGATATGATTGATGGAAGGATGTAATGTTATTAGGGCAGAAATTGATGTGAGCTAAAAAGCTAGGTCCTGCTACAACAACTAGGATAGATTCTTAGGATGCAAACGGTCTTGAGCTTTGCAAAGACATGATACTGTGCAATAAGACTTTTTCCTTCTTAGAACAGAAAATGAGTAGACTAATTAAGACAAGAAAAAAGGCCACATATCAATTGAATTTAGTCAAAGGACCAGTCAGAGGCTCATCTAGTGGGTTTAATTATTTAATTCAGTGATTTATCATAGATTCTTTACTGCAGGTTAGAATAAAGAAATGAACATAAACCTTAAAAAAGACTCTAGGTGATGTTTCCAAAGACATTTGTCTTGATATTAAGTTCATGATTCTGTTCACTTGTAAAATAACTTAAAATTTGGGTTTACAGGTTGAAAGTCTAATAAATAGTTTTTAAACTAGCTAAATATACCTAAAGCATTTCCAGTGTTTATCATGGGAGGAAAAAAACCACACGTTTTTTTAAAAACAATTCTGGTAATATAGGTTCAGCTTACTGTTTTTAATATCTCAGCTTAGCTGCTTTAATTATATCAAGATATGAGGCTGGATCACTGGCCCATGACAAATCTGAAACCTACCAGAGAATTGACTGCCACATAGATAATCCTGCTGTCAGTTAACATTCCAGGAAAATGGGCAGGCAATTTTTATAGCTGCCCCACTGTGCTACAATAGAGTGTCTTTCTATTAAAATGAGTTTCCACTGCATTCCAATCCCAGTATGGTGAAAACATCATTCTTGGATTAAATAAAAACAAATCCTTGATTTCATATGTGTGTGTATGAAATAATTATATATACATGTATGTGTAAGTATACATATGTGTATATATATATATAAAATTTTGCACATTAGGTCTAAATATCAACCCAAATGCATGAATTTGCAATAAATTTCTAGTAAGAAACGCTCCATTCATTCAACAGGGGATTTTTTTTTTTTGAACCTTCTAGTGTTGCTTATGAGAAAAGAACGACTATTATTATTTATTTATTGTATTTATATTCAGTGCTAGGCCAAAGTACCAAGTTAAAATCATGGATTAAGGTTGTTACAGGGAATTTATTCCCGCTTTTGTAATCATACTGCACTACAAAAATTAGTGGGGAGAGGAATACTTACCTATGTATTAGTCAAGGACAATGAGAGGGTTGATTTATCCCTCTCTGTCACTTCTCCAGCTATCTATGCTTACATAAAGAGACTGGCTAGTCCAGTGACTAACCTCTTGACTCCAGTCCAAAATTTCATTTGAGTGGGTAGAATTGAATGGAAAAGGCAGTAGGAACCTGGGAGAACGTTTCTAGCCAAGAGACCCATGGAAAATATTTTTAAATCCAGTGTAGTATCTTCAGGATAAGATAAACCCTGTCACCTCTGAGTAACAAAGCACCTGGAGTCAGCTACAGAAGGCTGGCCATATTCCCAAACCACTGAATTACCTGGGTGAGAGAGCATGCTCAGATAATCTTCTTTTCCTTGTTCTGATAGAACTGGCTCAGCTCAGAGACTATGTGTCACACAACTAAGCCAACAATGGCACATTCTGAAGGCTAATGATTCTTTAGCAGATTTGTTGTACTGTCCAATGTTTATTGTAGGAAACTGCTAGGAGAATGGAGAAGACCAAATAGACTTGGCCTCCCAAGCTTCAGAATATGGTCCATGCCCACATCTCTTAGACACTTTCCAGAAAAAGCTTCCATCCTGAAAAGTAACACTGTGAGAATACCATGATGAAAGCCCAGAACTTTCCAGCAGCCAATGTTATCTTTTCCCACTCTTTGTTTTCAAAATAAATATTTTGCTATCAACTTGGGATGATGGTAGAGCCTATGTTCATGGTATGAGTCATTGTTTCCCAGAGCTCTTTAAAGTTGTTCCTCTGCCCATTTCTTTGTGCCATCCAGAAGAAATTTCATTAAGACCAGACCACAGCATTTAACCTGTCACATGCACATTAAAATGATAAAAGTGATGCCCTATCTTGATCTGACAATCAGTATGAAGTGGTAGGTACTAGTTTGCCAATAAGCCAGCCACTTCTGTATGCTGGTACCTGACAGTCATACAAAACAGGTGACAGTGTAGTTACAGCATTTTTCTGGAATGCTGGTTTTGACAGATGCTGTTATAAACATCTGTGAGCCAAATGGCAGAATATTGCGGAAGAGGCCAGTTGAGTACACCTGCATACTGTATCAAAGAATACCATAAGCCTGTTGAATCATCAAGTGACTTTCCTCATCCTCAAATACTTTGAAAATTCAGGGTTCACAGAAGTGGGGCAGGATCCCCAGACTTCCTTTCCTCCTGCGTTCCACTTCTTTAAAAAAGTGACAAGTTGTTCTTGCAGCCCAGGTGGACAGCAGGACCACATCCGTGAGTGGATTTGGTGAGGTCTCAGTTACAGCACTTTAATTTTAGGTCAGGCCGGTGACAGTCTCACGATCAGATAGACGTCCCTGGAAGCCCATACCCACAACTGTATTGTAGGAAACTCCTGATGTTACTGTTTAAAGAAACTGGTTCCATAAATCAGTCAAAGCCACCTTTGTAACCAGTTAGGACACAACTGAAGGGTCCCGCCTTGTATTGATATATAAGAGCTGTTGTTTTCCCAATGTTTGGTGGCACTTGTGACTTTTTTCTTCCATTGGACAAAAATCAAGGTTACAGAGGCAGTCTGACAGTGCTTTCTGGTCATGTTCATTTCAGACAAGTCTGCTGGTCTGGGGATGTTCAGGCAGGAGGCTGCTTGCTACTACCTTGAAGACCGCCTGAAAATTCAGCTTCTTAGGGGCCTCAGGGCCTGTGTTTAGAGACAAACCCACCCATCAAAGCCTCACAGAGCAAATCACAGCAATGTTGAAATTGTTATTTTCAAGTGCTTATTTCACTACATTAAAAGAAATATTTTTTTTGGTGTATTAAGATTAAAAATAAAATCATAACTTTTGATTTAAAATCAAACTGTTTCTGGTTTCCTTTATCACTTGTTTTGGGTAGTTCAAGGGGAACTTCCAGAGCACTATGGATTTGTCAGAATGCTCAGAAAGGCCATTTCCATACTTGATGCTCCTGTGCTTATAGAAGATGAGTGACTAAAACTCCCTCTGGATTCCCTGACAGCCCAGTAATGATGGAGTCCTCAAATACACTGACTAAAGACCCACAAAGTGTTTAGCTCTTCAGTTAAGCCTCTTATGGGTGTGACATTTTACGAATTACATGTCTTCCACATCTGTGAGCTCACTGGAGCAGTCTTAATGGGGCACATAGTCTAAATCAGATCCAGTGTTATACAGCGGGGGAAAGAGCTGGTTAGATCCAGAGTGGCAGAGGTAAAAGGAATGAGATTTGAACATAATCTCCTTAGCTTCAATTTCATTGCAGTTGTTTAATCTTTGGAAATAGACTATAGAAATGAATAAAAATTCCAATGTCCTACACTGAACCTTGCCATAGCATCCGACAAAGTAATTCAGCACAGAATATATTGGGGAAGAAATTTAGCAAGCACACAATCTCCTTAGCACTGGCTCAGGATGTCACACACCTAACAGCTCTCAGCAGTGGCAATCCAAGTCATCCATTCCCTGGCCCTGAAATAATGTGGCCTTCAAATTCCAGTGTTTGGTATATTATTTTGCATACTACATGACTTAGGTTTTCATCACTCCATGGTAACAGCTGGCAGGAGGAGGAAAGAAAGAGGAGAAGAGGCTCTCCCCTTCTCAGATATTGTCCTTGAAGAGTTACCTTGCCCAGAACAGCGAAAGAAAAAGCTGCTTTTATGTGAACTGCAGACTGTGAACTTCGGAGCCCCTCCCTTTACATGCTGGGTATAAAACTCTGAAATCCCTGAACTTGGGGTTCAGGGGATTAATTGATCACAGCAAAAGCTGTGTCCTCTGAACCTGGCTGCAGCCAAATAAAACTGTTTCCTGCTATCTTCCCTGCCTTGCCTCGTTTGTCCCTACAAGAGCTCCTCATGGTAAACTGGCTCTGGAAAAGTTCCCTGCATTCCCAGCATATTCTCTGGGTGTCCTAACAGGGAGCTATCTTGAAAAGGTCCTGTCTGAGCCCCTGAATGTTCCTGTCTTTCTGTCTCTGTGCCCCTACAGTGATACAACTAAACTAGCTCACCAGGAGGCCGCCTTAAAAGTTAGTTTGAACCCAGAACAGAGCCTCTGACACAAACCAGCTGAGAATTCTATGTGCTGGGAAACTGGACTGCAAGAATCTGGAAACTGAGATGTCACACAGGAGCTAAGTCTTGGAACACCAGTCAGGAGTGGTGGACTGCCCCCTAGCACAGGTGGTGGAGACTCCCTAGTGTCTCCCTGTCCTTCGGGTGTACAACACAAAAAGCACTGGACAGAACCCTGTGTCAGACAATCACTGTGGTGGTGACATGCTGCAGGGTCAGGGTCTTCCCAGCTCTTGGAGTATGCAAGCCAAATAACTCCAGAGTAAATATGAGCCTTGTCAGATCAGGCGGGGCAGGCAGTGACCAAAGGAGGCAGATTTAAAAGGGCCACTGAACAGGCTTTATTGAGATATCACTCCCAGGCGGAACTTGATCAGACCCACAGAGGGGACAGGGGAAGGGTCTGAGGAGAAACCATGTGGAAGCTCGACCGGACTGGACTTTTATGGGTCTTACAGCAGGAAGGGAAGGGCTTGGGACAGGAAAAGGTGTTTCTAGGGTCCCTTGCCCCCTTGGAGTTGGTCAGGGGAGTTGGCTGAACTCCAGGGTTGGCCAGGGGATCCTGCTGATTGACAGGAGTTAGTCAGGAGATCTGGCTGATTGACAGGCATTTCCGCCGGCATCTGATTGATGTTCTTTTCTGGCGCGGGTTGCTTTGTTCTAAGTTGCCACTAAGTCGCCACCAAGTCGCCACTACCGACCTAACAAGCCTGGGGAGCTGATTTCCACCCTGGCTCATCCTGGCTTGAGCCACATACCACTCCCACTGGTCACTATGCAAGCAACACAAGGGAAAGAAGAAATGTAGAAGCCCCAGGCTTTACTCGCTCTAAGGGGTGCATAGCTAAGAAGACAGAAAGAAGGTCTCAATGAAGCCAGAATTAGGCAGTACAGATATGTAAATCAAGGTCAGACTGAGTCAGGCCAATTTTGAGGGAGTCCCAGGAAGTTGGAGACTGTCCCCAGAAGGACTGAAATATTAATTCCTTCAGAGCCCTTCCTCCACCCTTATCAAGAACCTGCACCTGCTCCAACCTGTTGCTTAGGCAACCTGTCCCAGGAATTGCCCCTCCCTACAGGGAGCTATAAAGTTGTTAATGAATGTGCCTTGGGCTGCACCATCCTGCCCTTCCCCCTTCAGCCCACCTGTTTCCCACCTTTGGGCCATTCCACAGAGCATTCCTTGACCTAGTCTTGAAAGCAGGAAGGAGAAAGTTAAGGAGAAGAGGGCAGGAGAGCAAAGGAAGCCTAGGACATATAAAAAGGGCAGAACACCTCGCTTCTGGGGATACTAGGATACCAGCTATGGCCCCCTTCTCCCTCCAGGGGGGAAGTCTGTGTTACCCCTTTTTAAACAAACCCTGCTTTAAGGATGCTTGCCTCCACGTGCTTCTCTAATGTTCAAACTTCAACATGTGAGGAAGTAGAACTGGCCACCAATAACCGGTGGCATCGCCATCAGTGCAGGGTGCCAACATCCACCCCTGCTGGCACAATTGAACACCTTGGCAGAGAGGAAATATTTATTTCTTATTAATGCTTTCTTTTGTAGCTACT